CGGCGAGAAGCGGCCGCGCGTCTGCCCGCGCCGTCCGCCCGCAGCTCTGCCAGCCCGCCGGCGCCCCCGACTTCCTGCTGCTCCTGTGCCGCCTGCTGAGCCCGGTGCTGCGGAGCTACGCGCGGGCAGCCGCCTTCCTGGAGCAGCCGCGCTGGCCCCGGCCAGGTAGGAGCCGCTTCCCGGCGGCCGCTGCTCCCGCTCGGCCGCGGCCCCGTTGTTGGGAGCGCGCGGCCGCAGCCCCGTGTCCCTGCAGAGCCCGAGTACGCGGCCGCGCTGCAGCGGTTCCTGGCCGAGGACGGAGCCGCGGGTGAGTCGGCGGGGCCGGTGGCGGCGGCGCCGGGGCCGGCCGGGCACTGGGGCTGCCCCCGGCTGCTCCGTGTCCCCGCAGACCCCGCGTGCCCCGCGCTGGCGCTGAGCTCGCTGCACACCTTCAAGGAGCTGGGGGTAAGCGCGCCGCGAGTCCCCCCGCCGCCGCGCGYGCCCGCCCCGCCACCCTCCTCTTCCTCGGCAGGTACTGAAGGCTGCGGCCGGCCCCGCGGGGCCCCTCCTGGAGCTGGGCCCCGCGTTCCGCACCCGGGAGAACCGCCGCAAGCTCCAGCTCTTCATCCAGCAGTTCCTGGAGCCGTGAATCCCTCCCCGGCTTCCCCCGGCGCAAATAAACACGGCTGGATCCCGATCCCGGCTCCTGGCTTTATTGACGGCGGCGGCTTCACACCACCCTGTTGCGGATGGCGCCCAGCCCCTCGATGTCGCACTGCACCACGTCGCCTCGCTGCAAAGGGGGGAGCTCGCGGGGAGCGCGGGCGCCCACGGGGACCCCCCCCGTGTCCCCACGGCCACAAGGGACCGTCCCCTCCCGCCGCCGCCCCCAGCTGCGGCTTAGGGGGCACAGCGAGGCCGAGGGCGCATCCCGAAGACCCGGAGGTTTCCCTCTTTTCTCACCTTGAGGAACACGGGCGGCTTGCGGAAGACGCCCACGCCGGGCGGCGTTCCCGTGAGGACGACGTCTCCGGGCAGCAGCGTGACGAAGCTGCGCAGGGCGAGCGGGCGCCGTGAGCCCCCGGTGCCGACGCCATCCGGGACCCCAGGCGCTCAGCACTCGCTCCCTGCGCTCAGGGCCATATGGGACCCCCGGCGCTCACTCCCCCCATGCTTGGGCTCATACGGGACCCCCAGCACTGGCTCCCCACACGCTCGGGGCCATATGGGACCCCCCTGCACTCGCTCCCCACACTCAGGGCCATAGGGGACCCCCAGCACTTGCTCCCTAGGCAATCTGGGCCATATGGGACGCCAAGCACTTGCTCCCCATGCACTCTGCCATACAGGACCCCCGGCACCCACTCCCCGTGCCTGGGGCCATATGGGACCCCAGCACTTGCTCCCCATGCCTGGGGCCATAGGGGACCCTCGGTGTCCTCTCCCTGCGTCCGGGGCCGTACGGGACCCCCGGCGCCCGCTCCCCGTGCCCGGGGCCATACGGGACCCCCGGCACCCACTCGCCATGCCCGGGGCCATACGGGACCCCCGGCGCCCGCTCCCTGCGCCCGGGGCCATACGGGACCCCTGGCACCCGCTCCCCACGCCCGGGGCCGTACGGGACCCCTGGCACCCGCTCCCCATGCCCGGGGCCGTACGGGACCCCTGGCACCCGCTCCCCATGCCCGGGGCCATACGGGACCCCCAGGACCCACTCCCCGCGCCCGGGGCCGTACCGCGACACCCACGCGACGAGCTGCGGCACGCCGAAGACGAGCTCGCGCGTGTTGCTGCTCTGCACCAGCTCCCCGTTGAGGCGGCAGCGGATGCGCAGGTTGTGCACGTCTGCGGGGGCGAGCGGCGTCAGCGCGGCCCCGCCGGCCCCCGCGCCGGCCCCCGCGCGCCTCCTCACCCGCCACCTCGTCCGTGGTGACCAAAGCCGGCCCCAGGGGACAGAAGGTGTCGAAGGTTTTGCCCAGCAGCCACTGGCGCCCGTTGCGCCGCATCTGCCAGTCGCGGGCGCTCACRTCGTTGGCCACGGCGTAGCCGGCCACGTGCTCCATGGCCGCCTCCTCGGGGACGTGCTTGCCCTTCCTCCCGATGACGAAGGCCAGCTCGGCCTCCCAGTCCAGCTCCTGCAGCGAGCGGGCACGGAGGCGCCGGTCGGTCGGGGGCCCCGCGCGCGGCCGTGTCCGCGGGCGCCGGCGCGGCGACGCACGTTGCTCTCGGCCGGGTGCTCGATGTCGGCGTAGGGGCCGGCGATGGCGCTGGGGAACTTGCTGAAGATGACGGGCTCGCGGGGCACGGCGGCGCCCTGCTCGGCGCAGTGGTCGCGGTAGTTGAGGCCCACGCAGATCACCTTGCTGGGCTCCGTCACCGGCGCCAGCAGCGTCACCGCCGCGCGCGGCAGCCGGTGGCGGCCCGAGTCCAGCGCCCTGCGCGGGGCACGGGCGCCTCAGGGGCACGCGGGGCGCTCTGGGGACGTGTGGGGGCCCCCAGGGATGTGGGGGGGCTCTTGGGGACATGCAGGTCCCCCTGGGGACATGAAGGGCTCCCTGGGGACATGCAGGGCACCCTGGGGACATGTGGGGTCCCTGGAGATGTGTAAGGGCTCTCAGGGACATGCAGGTCCCCCCAGGGACACGAAGGGCTCCCTGGGGACATGCAGGACCCACACGGGACACACAGGGGCACCTGGGGACATGCAGGGCGCCCTGGGCACGTGTGGGGTGCCCTGAGGACATGCAGGACCCCCAGGAGACACATGGGAGCTCCTCGGGACATGCAGGGTCCCTGGGGACATGCAGGACACCCCGGGGACTCACAGGGGCACCTGGGGACATTCAGGACACCCTGGGGACATGCAGGGCACCCTGGGGACATGAGGGGCTCCCTGGAGACATGCAGGACACCCTGGGGACGCACAGGGGCACCTGAGGACATGCAGAGCCCCCTGAGGACGTGCGGGGCACCCTGGGGACATGCAGGACCCCCAGGAGACACACGGGCGCTCCTCGGGACATGCAGGGCCCCCTGGGGACATGCAGGACACCCTGGGGACGCACAGGGGAACCTGGGGACATACAGGGTGCCCTGGGCACATGTGGGGTGCCCTGAGGACATGCAGAGCCCCCTGAGGATGTGCGGGGCACCCTGGGGACATGCAGGACCCCCAGGAGACACACGGGAGCTCCTCGGGACATGCAGGGCCCCCTGGGGACATSCAGGACACCCYGGGGACGCACGGGGGCACCCGGGACATTCAGGACATCCTGGGGACATGCAGGGCACCCTGGGAACATGTGGGGCCCCTGGGCATGTGTAGGGGATCTCAGGGACATGCAGGACCCCCAGGGTACGCACGCGGGCACCTGGAGACATGAAGGGCACCCTGGGGACGCGCAGGGTGCCCTGGAGACCCGTGGGGCACCCTGGGGACATAAAGGGCGCCCTGGGGACATTCAGGACACCCTGGGGACACGCAGGGCCCCCAGGGGACACACGGGAGCACCTAGGGACGTGCGTGGCAGGCGGCACCCACCTGCGGGCGGCRTCGGCGGCGCGGGCGCCGCTCTCGAGGAAGGCGCGTGTGCAGGGCGGCAGCGGCGGCTCGCAGGCGCCCAGGTCCACGATGCTGCCGCCCTCGGCCTCCTCCAGCCCCAGGCGGCCCGGGCCGCCCGGCTCCCGCTGGAATTGCACCAGCCGCAGCCCCCGGGCGCCGCGGAGGGGCCGCGGGGGGCGGSCGGCCGCGCGTGCCAGCGCCTGCATCCTGGTGGGGCCGTGGGAAAGGCGAGCGGCGCCGTGGATCTGCACCCGGGCAATTTGGATTCCTGGGGGGGGGCAATAGGGGGGTGCCGGGGAGGATGGAGCCCCTGGGGGCCTCGTGTCAGGGGCTTTGGGATCACTGGATCCCGGGGGATTTCTCCTCCTCCACGCGCYGCTCCTGGATCCTGCCCCGCTCGGATTCTTTGGGATCACTCCCGATCCGGGAGACACCCCCAGTGCCGGGGATCCCTCCCCAGTCCCGATCCCGCACAGGCCACAGACTGGGGGCTGCTCCCGGGCCCACCCACCGCCTCTGATCCCACCKCCTCTGATCCCACCTCCTCTGATCCCACCTCTCCAGGACCCCGCCTCCGATCACAGGGGACCCACCCCCCGGTTCTGGGGCTTCTCCCGCTCCCATGGAATCCTCTCACCCCCCTTGAGCCCCCTGATCCTCGGGGATTCTCCCGTGCTCCCCCCAATCTCGGGATCCTTCCCGGATCGGCGGGGGCGCCGCGGTGCTGCACAGCCCGATCCCGCCCGCCGCCCCTATCCCGAGGGATTCCCTCGATCCCTGAGATATCYCCCCCAGATCCCAATGGACCCCCCCGGCCCTATGGGACCCCCCTGAACGCCCGGGCCGGGGGGCGTCGCTCCCCCCCCCCGCCCGCTCGGGGTGTCCCGGGACCCCGCGGGGTGATCCCCGGGAGGGGAGGGGGGATCCCCCACCGCCAACGCTGCGTCACCTGCTGCGTCACCGCCCCGCGCAGCACCTCGCGTCCACGTGACAGCCCGCCCGCCGAGTCCCCGCCCCTCCCTCCAGCGGGCCAATGGGGATGAAGAGTGGGCGCGGCCTCRCGGCAAGCCACGCCCCCCTCCCGGTCCGTGCGGGCGTTGCTAGGAGACGGGCGGCGGGCGCCCCGCTCCCCCCGGGCCCCGGAGCAGCCCCCGCGTCCGCCCTTGGCGCCGTTTATTGCGCGGGAACCGGCGGGCCTCGCTCGGGCGGCGGGCAGGAAGCGGCGGAAACGGCCCGGGCGGCTCCGGCCCGAGTGCTCAGGGGGCGGCTCCGGCCCGCTCGGGCCCGGCCCGGGTCTTCACGGGGCGGCCGGGGCACGGCGGGCGGCGCCTAGACGGTGTCCTCGAAGAGGCGCAGGGAGCTCACGATGGCCTCGTCCTGCGGCACGGGGCGGCGTGGGCGGGCGGGCG